TCGTGGAACCGCTGCACACCACAGCCTTCGTTTTTACTCTTTCTCTTTCCACTCGTCCACTCGTCATCACACGCTTTGCACGCCCTAACCCACCGAGCGGGATTTTAAGCCACTAGAAACAATGGAACCAGGAGAACAAGCAGCTCTCGGCCTAAGCATCGCGGGACCTTGCGTTATTGCTGCTATCCTATGTGTAACGCTCATACGGTGGTTCATGGCACTGAGACGGAATTCAGGTACGTTTTTCAACGCTTAATTTCCTTTTTTTTTTTTTTGTTCGACTTGTCGTCCTACTCAATCTTGTAAATTTCGCCTTTCGTTCGTCAAAAGCCCAAATTTTGCTTCCGGATAACGATTATGCTCCCGGATTTCAGCTTCCGCGTTCTCTTGGGCACTTCCATCCGCTTCTTGATCCTTTTCACGCTTGTTCTTGACTCCTAATTGACCAATCACATATAGTCATCCAGCAGCGTCCTCCAGCCCTTCGACTGCCAGAAACATCAGCGCCCAACGACACCCGTCGAGATTCCCGCGCCTCCAGCTTCTTCGACTCTAAAGCCCCCATCGACATTGACAACAACGAAGATCCCGATCCTCACAGTCGATTCGGAGGTCCCCCAAGAGCACTTGCATCCAAAGCAAACAAGACAGGGGGGAAGAAAGCCATCCCGACAGTCGATATCGATATTGAATTGGCCACAGTGGTAGATAACAGCAGCAACAACCCCTACATAGGCCACTACAACTTGAAGCGTCCACGACCGACAACGACGACAACCCATTTGGACTTTTCGAAGAGACTGGAGGTCGACATTGCAAAGTCGAGCTTGTCGTTACCCACGCTCGAGTACTCTCCTAGAGGCGGGTGAGATTAGGAGAGAGGTGGAATGAGTATGAATTCAGGGGTTGGAGGATACGATGTTACGTTACGTATCGCAGTGTAATGCATGCGAATTGGACACCGAGAACGCCCATAGGCTGCGTTATCCAACTGAGAAAACCAGTGATAGACATTGTATAAATGGAAAGGCATATGATTGTACCCCGTCGCAATGGGTCGGGTCGCCCCAAACAGTACAAACGAACATATATCAGCCCTACGGAGATCGAACCCTGAAAGAGTGACGCCAAAAAAGCGCCTTAGATTAAGCGCTGGTGAAACTTGGCCCGGCCGGCTAGTCACGCGGGCATATCGGCATATCTGGGCACTTCCCTGATTGGATAGTCTGTCACTTCAAAGTAATTACCCATACTACTGGACGACAAGCTGCCCCACCGGCGTATTGACGATGACAGCGACGTTGCGAACTCAACCGTGTTCTTGGTCTGTCCTGCCGTCTCGTGAATTACCAAGTGCTGATCGTCGACGGCGGACCAAGGCCCCTCTACTAGCAGCAGCTCCTTTCATAGTCCCAATTATGTCTTAACCCTGCTTAGTGTGTTCCACTGCTCTCTCCATTCTCCATTAACTTTGGACTGGTTACATGCGCGTAGAGTGTTGACTTCAGTGACCCTCCGTAGAGTCTATATCGACATAGAGACTCCCAAACGCGTCCATTCTCCAATACAATGTCACGGGAAACACAGATGGTGGGTGGCAAAAGAAGCGCATTTGACTCGGGTGCCACCCTGGAAGCTAGATGGTTCTCAGCTGGAGAGGCATGAGCCTTCTTGCGAGCATCCCTACCTAGGCGTTCCACGGGCTCAACTGGACAGCATCCCTTTTGCAAGACCTTGCAGACTTAACATTCCACCACAAATATCGGGTCCTTGCAGGCCGACCTGGCATTATCTCTGGGTCTGTTGAATGGTAGCTGCAGTGTAAGACATGAGAAGTTCACCGATGGTCAAGAGATCTTGGTCATCTAAATGTCTGGACTGTCCGCGACGCCCTTTAGAGCTAGTTTAGTGCCATTTTCGAAATTTGAAGCCGGTAGAGGGTGATGTCAGCTTCTTTCACGGTGTGTTCAGCCCGTTGCAGCCTCTTTTAGTCTGGAGTAGGATAGTCCATGGCGTTTCGCCTGGTCATGCGGGAGCATCAGCCCCACGAGCGTCCCGCTTCACCCACATCCCGGTTCTTGACAATGTTTCGCGCATCGAGGCCTGCTATCTTTGTACTAATCGAAGGTAAATGCTTCTCCCGAAACCCCTTGGTCAAGGGATTGGATTGACTAAATATGAACACCGTATTTATGCCGCTCCAGAGAACAACGAGAAGCACACTACGGTGTGATTTTTGATAAAGCAGGCTTCTACTTGTTACCGCGTATTCATTCTGGCAACTGCATGCTTGGGCATCAACTTGTTTAACACGAAGTTCAGTCAGGACTGACTTGCATTGATGTTACCCCGCTCCCCAGTCGGGTGCACAGTGTAACAAATTCTCAGAACACGGCCGTTAAGTCTTTCACGTTGACCGCCCCGTTCCTACTCGGGCAAGCGCCGTTAATCTCCACAAATATGCTTTGGACAATGGTCTCAATTTTGATTGAAATCATGTAGTGTCTTCTATTTAAAGAGTTCAACCCGCAGTCTTCTATTTGTATATGTAATGAACCTTTTTAAACGTGCGACGAGGCCTATGTTTAGTGCTGGCGCATGGCTCCTTTTGAAAAAATGTTTATTCCAAGCTTGCTCACCCTTAGTGCACGCATGTCTCGAGACTCTCTAAGCCAGGCATAGAGGCACGAACTCCGTGAAAGGGCTTGAATCCGCACATCGGAGCTCTGGAGGAGAGGCTCTTCTTGCATCGAGAACTGTGGAGAAATTCAAAGATGACTCGCTCATGGAATTTAGCGTCATCATTCTATTGTTTCAGGAGGTGGGCCGCGATACCCTCGAAGATGGTAATATGAGGGGGATTGGGTCTTGGCACTCTCCGCTGGTGGCTTCTTAGTCTGACTATCGACGCAAAAAGGTATAAAAGACTCCAGGATATGAGCTTGACTTTCTCATCCAGCCCATCTTCTCTCATACTCAACAGAAACAATCCTCGAAATCGCTCACTTTGCTTCTTCAACCTCTTCGAATCATTCAATATGCAACTCTCCTCCATCGCCATCATGATCTTTGTCACTCCAGTCTTCGCGGCGCCTACCGAGTCGCTCTTTGGCTCCGGTCTCCGCATGCGCGGCGAGGTCGACCAGGGCGATGGCTTCTACCTCGCTGTCTTCCACAACGGGACAGATGTCGCAGACGTCCAATTCACTGCTCTGGCTGAGCTCGCATCCACCGAAGGAGTCACCACTCCTGCTACCGTTAACACCAGTTTGCTCAAACGCGGGACTACCTGCTCAGGCCGTCGCTCAATCAACCTCAATGATCTCAATAACGCCAACGTGCAGCTGGCCAACAACGCCAACGCACAAGGCTCGTACGGTAAAGGTGCCAATGGTTGGGTAACTCTTGGCTCCGGCTCCAGAATAACATTGGAAACTAATACGCAAAGAATAGGTTCACCTGGGAGGCGAGACCTCGTTCTTCTGCAACTATCAGGCCAACTTCCTGACTTATGGGCTGATCATTGACATGCACACCGTTGTTAGCCACTACTGCGGTCAGGATGGCTACGGTTATGATCGCAGGACCAATGGCGGTGGTGCCAATGACCTTGCTGTTGGCCGTACCTTCCGTGGTGATGGCTTTTGTTAAATGGGCGTCATGAATGCCTCCGGGCAATCTAGATTGCAGCAGCGTGTGCGATGAAGGTTGACGAGGATTAGTACTCCTAGAACGTCTCTCACACGGACTCCTAGTTTATTCGATGCTTACCACTACTTGGCCTTTGTTTATTTCACATGACGTCGAGTTTAAGTTCCACAGTATAGAGCCGAAAATCCGTAGATACATTGCTCCTAGTAAATCCTATTTTGTTATACCTTGCCCTGATTAAGGACACCTGCTCGCCTCTCTCTTGCCGTTGTGTGGCACAAGACAAGCCCTTACGGTCAAGCGCCGAGGGAGCCAGATCCACCACGCTATATCATCACGACACTCGTTCGTGGTAGCGACAGTGAGTTGAAGTCCAAACCGACAGTAAGTCAAGGTCGGGCGTATATACTGACTGATATGAGCAGGGATTTGGTCTGGTTGAGTTGTAGAACCGTCGAGGCAGGTGTCAGGTATACGACGCGCAACCGATAGTATGCGACAAGAAAATCACGGGGTCCCTAGTGTTATGCCAATGATACCTCAAGGAAGATCAGGACCAAAAGTGTCAGCCACTGGGTACTCGGATATCTTCCCGCCTGGGAGTCAAACCCAGGCGTAGCAGCAAATGTTGATCGCACCTTCACAGACCAGTATACTGAAGCGGCGTGCTTTGTTGCTTAGCGGTTGTTGGAAACGAGGGAAGTAACATCTAAATATCGCAGCCCTAACTCTTCTACTCGCCTAAACATCCTTGTGAGACGTGCCTCGGCACACGAGCAGAACAAAAACGGCAAATAGGCAGTTGATCGCAGGGACAACTTACAAGCATCTTGGATTAAGCCTAGTGAGGTTTGGATTACATGAAAGAGGCCGCCTGACGTTCTCGTGGATAGCTCTCCTCAACATCAACTACTATACGTCCAGAGAGTAATGTAGTTATAGCCTTGTACGAGTCAATCAAAAGATATTTGAGAGGCCAGCCTGAGGACAACGACAAAAGGTCTTCCATACTTAGTCGATCTGGCTTGGCTGGGAGTTGAACGTTGATCCCGAGCTTAACCCTGCCCAGAAAAAGCAAGCAGCTTGGATTGGGTTGAGCCCCCTGCCAGGAACGCTGCGACCAATGTGCTATAGGCCACTCAGTTTCGTGGATGACCACTGGTTAATCGATGTCTAAATGGGAGTCCAGCGTCTACTGCTCCTCCCGGGGATATACTAGTGTCCTCAAAGGAGAGCACACTCACAGCTGTCTCTTGAGGTGTATGTATTTCCAGTGCCCACATGATGGGCAGACTTGTCACTCATTTGCGATGAAGTGTAAAATTAAAGTGAAACGGTATCCGCTGCAACTCTCTGTCTAGGAATCGAACCCAGGTTTCCCGCGGACATTTGATCTGTCATCGATGCGGAGGCATGACAGGGGCGTGTACTAACCAGTGTACGAACAGAGATGTAGGTGTGGTACTAGTCGCAAAACAACGGTGTGCCTTCAAGAGGGAAAATGAACTCGTGCCCCTCCGGATGGTCCCTGGGAAGATCAGACCTGTCCCTGTCCCCTCGTCGAACTTTCAGGGTTGCGAGACGAACCTCCCTCCAAAAAACACATCCGAATATTGAAATTGAGACCGGCTTGACTGGAAGTCGAACCCGAGCCATAGGCGCGCCGGTAGAGTTGCGATTTAAAGTCTAGGGGATAGCATCGTGGAGACTAAGCTGTCAGGCTGGTTAGTTAGTCAACTGATATCTATAGATATTTCTTCCAGTTCAGCGTCGTCTTCTGATTTTTTTTACGACGCTACGTTCTCAAGTAACGACCAAACTCAATGCGCGTTGAAGCGGAGCAACTTGTTGTCACCGCAGAGTCAAAAATAATACTATGTATACCGCCCTTCCACTACTCTCTGTCTGGGAATGGAACCCAGCTTTCACGCGGCCAAGAAGAATGACAGGCGTGTGTACTAACCGATATGCAGTACGAACAGACCCATGTCGCGGTGAATGAAACTCTTGCAGCATGATTCAACGGATAAGATAAGATCTCCATCTCTGACGAGCCTCCCGGAACGCGCTTCTCGCCGCTCTTCCACCTCCCATACCAACAACCCTCGGATCGAATAACCTCCTTCGTCCACGTCTGAGGCTTTTGCAGCGAATGTGGTCGCCAAAGCCATGCAACGCTCATCATCACTGAATCTGGCGCACCTACCCCGCACACGAACGGAATATCCGAAACGCTAATCAATTATCCCCTCTTTTCCCACCATTGGACTCACTACGTCGGTCAATTGGCGCATTGTTACTGCTTGCCACTATCGTCGTTCCTTGCTGTTGGAACGTGCACCGTTCTTCCCCTTCTGCACGGATGTAGAGGAGTGTCGGTCTAGGCAATGCTGATCTTTGTAAACCGGTCAGGGCGGGGAGGGATTCTTGTCCCGCAGATCCATTTTCTAGATTTCCAGGTACGCTGGTTCGTGTGCCTGATACGTTGGTGGAAGCTCATAGTTTTCTTGCAGGTTCCTTTGGACAATACGTCCACGAAGGCATAGCGCTCGCTGCACGGAACGCAGCGCAACACCAAACTATCCTCATCGACCTAAACAGCCTACCCTCCCACATACCAACCCACCTAAGCTGGATGATGCCCTCGACGCTCCCAACCCACCGAAACCACCTCCACGCATTCGTCGCACACTCGCAATCTCGTGGCAGCTCCTCATCTCACTTTGGCTGACCCATCCTGCGCTGGCTCGGGCTCTCTACCATCCTCATCGCAGGCCTCTGGTTCTTCCCCCCTCTCATCGTTGATACTGGGTCCCTTGAGCAGACATGGGGGAAGGTGAAGCAGCAGGTGCCATGGGTGAATAATCAGCCTTTTCCTCCGCCTCCACCTGCTATCAACCGGGATGGGGATCCTACGATACCGAACGGGGCGGATGGGAATGAGGAAGAGGAGGAGGAGGAGCCGGTGGACCCTGTAGGGAGAAAGAGAAATGGGCAAGGAGGAAATAGAAGGTCAAGAATGCGTTTGCGAGGGCGTATGTTGGATATAGGAACCATGCGTACCCAAGGGACGAGTTGTAAGTTCGTAACATCTTGTGGGGTCCTGCGACTAATGCGGGATTGTTCAATAGGATCAATGGACAGTCGCTGACTGCTGTCGAGGCTCTCTCACCGCTACGTTTGATGGATATGAAGGCAGATGTTTGGAGGACGGTGCGGGTGCTGGAGAGGAAGATGTTTGCCAACCTGGTGAGTGCTCATTTAGGCGGGATGTTTGCTGTGTAGCTTCGTTCCTCCATTCTCCGTCTGGGGCTTCCTCCAACTCCTGTTTCAACCTCTCCTGCATACATGCTAATCCGCCTTCGTCCTTCCTCCAGACAGGCGACTACATCCCCTTTTTCGAAACCACCGTCCGATACCTAGGCGGCTATCTCTCGGCCTACGCCTTTTCAGGCGAGAAGCTGCTTCTTGACTTTGGTAGATGATGTCGGTATGTCCATGCTCTCTTTCTACTTGTCTATCCATCTGTCTATCCACCTCTGTCAACCTCTCTCGCTATCTTTATGTCCATCCACCTTATCTCTATGTCTTCTGGACAAGTAACTGACTGTATGGCTTAGGAATGCAACTCCCACGAGCATTCAACACGATGAGTGATCTACCAGCAGGGAACGTCACGGCCTGGCGTCGACGGTCGAAGGCGAGGGAATGCGTGGGATGATACCCGCAGACGATCGAGGTCGCAGTCATGGCGGAGGAGGCGAGAGAAACATTTGGCGCTGGCCAAGAGCGAAAGGCAGTGCAATAGGGGGATGGGCGCTAATAGTGATCGAACCATGAGACCGGACCCAGATCCTGACAGCGATAGCTGGCGCTGGTTGGGTGACAATCACCAAGCTTCATCAACCGCACCCTACTGAAAGGGTTGAGGATTGGAGAAGCCAAGCATGGTTGGATGCTCATCGGCGATTGCCATGGTGGGGAGAGGGGGAGCTGGTAGGGTAAGGAAGTCACACATCGTTGGGGACTCCTTGTGGATTTTTGTCGAAGTAGCAGTCATGTAGGTGGGACGGCGTGATGCAATGCCCATCGACGAAAGAAGGACAGAGGAGGGAGAAAGCGGAAAGCGGAACGAAGCAGGGTACGTTGGGAGACGTGAAGAAGGCGACCATGCGACCGTAGAGGGTAAGGACGTGCCATGGGGTGTGCATGGTACAATATAGACTTACGCAGATCTGGAGCGGATCCATGAACGGCAGAACGGTGTGGTACAGATGGTAGTAGTAATGGTCACTTGATGCCTCGATGACTCCTTTCACGCCGCAATACTATATGAATGTGTATGCAGTACATGGCGTCTGTCAGATACCTCCACAGCTCTGGACGTCAAACACACCATCTTGCGTACTTCGGGCGTTCATTTCATACCAATCGACGTGTATATCGTGTGTTAGCAATGTGCGGGTAGTACAACCCCTGAGCCGATTCACAGCGCCCAAGGTTTGATCATGCGACTAAGCGATAATCGATAATGGTGCATGAAGGCCGTGTAAATGGGGTGCTAGATGCCATTGAGTTTAGATATGGGCACGGGGTGTGCTACCTATGAGCTGTAGGCTGTGTTCGAATAGTCGCATGCTGCACACACGTGTGACCTGTGCCGATCCCAAACAGGCGCCCATCCTCGCGACCCGTTGCTTCCTGCCATATAAGACAGTATCTACGGCACTCACTCGTTTCCCCTTTTCTCAACGCATTTTTTTCCCTTGCACAAATCAAGACCTCCATCGAAAGCACCATGAGCCAAGAGAAGTACGATGCCATCTTCTGTTAGCATGGAGAGACTGAAGCGTTAAGCAGTAGCTCACTGGTACCTCGTCTCGCAAGTGGCGATGGGTAAGTGATAAGTCAGTTCAAATGAATGGCGACATCTCATAGATTTCGGGCCATCTAGCGACCTTTATCTGACAGGTATGTAAAGCTATCGTAGGGATGGCTATCCCAGCTTCAACTGATATGATTTGACTAGACGTCATCCTTGAGCGCACCGACACAGCCAATGACGATAGAACGCCATTGAGCTTGACGGAGCTCTGGGTATTCGATATACCAGACTCAGAGGAAGGAGATTGCTATACCCTCACAAAAGGCGCTTCGGGACAGTGGAACATGACAGACTTCATTCAGCTGTGAGTGTTCACCATCTTGCTGCCGACTAGACATCAGGACTAATATGGGGTTGAAGACCTGCCGGTGTGGCTGGAATTGACTGTGTTGTAAGGAGTGAAGAGGGCGAAGATGTTGCTTTTGTGCATCTAGATCGCACCGACTCGGGGATGCAACCAGCACGTATGCACTCAGAGCATGGTAAGACCAAATCATATGCACAAAAGTGAATTATATCAAATATTGGATATACTTAGGGCACAGCCTGGGCATGGAAATGTACAGGGAAAGTGTATGTTTGATTATATCATGGAGGACAGTGGAAATACCGTTGGATACTATTCTGCCGACTGAAGGTGAGTGCGTCTCTTGAACTAATAGAGACAGAGGTTTATGAATCATATTCACGTAGATATCGCTGCTTTGAATAGCACTGGAGTGGATTTAGTGAGGCAATTTGAAAGGACAGGAGACCTTGTGACTATCACTGAGGCTATAGCAGTGCTGTATAGCGCGGTGCAGCTCACCCCTGAGAGTCATGCCGACCTGCCAGGTCGCCTCACCAACCTCGGAATCTCATTTCGGCGTCGCTTCGAGCACACTGGTGATGTTTCTGACATGGCAGAAGCCATCTCAGTTCAACACAAAGCAGTGCAGCTCACTTCTGAGGGTCATGCCGACCTCCCAGCTTGCCTCAACAACCTTGGGACCTCATTCACCCGTCGCTTTGAGCACACTGGAGACCTTTCAGACATGGCTGAAGCCATCTCAGTCCAGCACAGAGCAGTGCAGCTCACTCCCGAGGGTCATGCCAACCTGCCAGGTTTCCTCAACAACCTCGGAAACTTGTTCCGGCATCAGTTCGAGCGCACTGGGGATCTTTCTGATATTGCTGAAGCACTCTTAGCCCAGCACAAAGCAGTACAGCTCACTCCCGAGGGCCATGCCAACCTACCAGCATGCCTCACCAGCCTTGGAAACTCGTTTCAGTGTCGCTTTGAGCGCACTGGGGATCTTTCTGATATCACTGAAGCCATCTCAGCCCAACACAGAGTGGTGCAGCTCACTCCTGAGGGTCATGCCAACCTGCCAGCTTGGCTCAACAACCTTGGAAACTCCTTCCTGCGCCGCTTTGAGCACACTGGGGATCTTTCTGACATTGCAGAAGCCATCTCAGCCCACCAAAAAGCGGTGCAGCTCACCCCTGAGGGCCATGCCAACCTGCCAGGTCGCCTCAGCAACCTCGGAAACTCATTCCTGTGTCGCTTTGAGCGCACTGGAGATC